TACTTTGATTTGGACTGTGGTTGTTTGCACTTGTTTTCATAAACCTTGTGTTTGCATTTAATTTGTTCATTTACATTTTGCATACTAAATATATTGGTTTCTTCTTTTCTAAGGTCACATTGTTCTGTTGTCTTACATTATAAACTTAAGTGAAACATGTTATTGATATTTATTTTCTCTTGTATTTATTTGCATTGCATTTGATATTGAGGGAATCCAAAAGTAACAGAAAGTAATCAGGTTACATAACTTTTATATTTTGATATTCATATTAGGTTACTGATTACATATTTTAACAAGTGAATTGTAATTGTACGGAATACATTTTCAAAGTACGGTGTAGGTGCCATAATGCTACTTAGCCCAAGTTCATTATTTGTATTATTATTATTTGTTTACGTCACTTTTATTTGTTTGTTGACCACTTCCGGTAAATGTCACACGGGTGTGGTTTGTGTATATAAGTCACCTGTCTCATGTCGAGTGCGGATGACAGAGGGTGAGCTTGTGCTGTCATTTTTTCTGTTGACCGTGTTGTCCATAGTTACTGTGTTTTGAATTTGTTTATTATCGTAAAACTATCTTGCTTCAGTATGGACTTTCTTTGTAAACGCGTCACAGTTTATAGCCAAGCTTAGCCTCTCGGCGACTCAAACTGAACTGGAAATTGAGCCGCCACATACGGTAACCCTCCTAACCCTGGTGATGAACTCATAGAGAATGATCAGCTGTAGCTGCAGCTGCCATGGCTTTATGGAGCTGTTTATGTGAGCTGCGGCTCATTGTTTCACATCGTTTACTGTTCACTCTCGTGGTGTTGCTCTCTTTTCAGCTGCAGCAGCACGCAGCTGTTCTCAGGGAAAACTGCACCTGCACAACACCTGGCAGCGAGCAGTTAGCTACTGCTGGGAACATACAGGAGGATTCTGCTGCTTAAGACACAGATATTTCCATCAGAGGTCAGTAGCAAAGCGACTACACTGATGCAACCGCTGGCCCCCCCAATGGCCCCCACCTCACAAGTGTCATATTTAATATTGAACACATCTGTGTGATGATTTGAGCTAGGGCTGAACGATTAATCGATTTTAAATGATGCAATTAAAAATCGCATTTGTGTGTCAGTCATCCACACCAAACAGAAGTGCTGTGCTCCACATGTACCATCCATTGTTAGCCAATCAGAAGTGGCCCATGATAGAAGGTGATAGACAGATTAATCCAATCACCTGCCAAGTATTTTTGAAAGTGCCTGCCCTTTTCCAATGGTTTGGTGAAACAAACCATCTGAGTCAGGTTAGTAATGCTCCATCACATGTTTTACATCTATTACAGCGTGAATCTTAAACTAAAGCTTGACTTTAAAGCAACCCAACGGAAGTTTCATGTAAGTTTAGTTCTTTCACTCGTAGCTCGGGCTGCGGGGGTGCTAGAGACGGGAGCACGTTGATACGACCTTCCTAGCCGGAGATACACACACACACACACACACACACACACACACACACACACACACACACACACACTGTCTGTCTCTATCATTGTCTCGGTGCGTAGCCAAGTGAATATCTGAAAAAATATCTGATTGGTTGCATTTCTTTTCTAACACAAAACCACTGAAATGCGTAGTGCATGGACCGAGAAGGACAAACAAACCATGTAACACTGTAATATTACAGATCAACAACACAGATACGATTCTCATTTATTCATTTTATATACATTTTATTACATTTTATTTATATAATTAAATCGATTTTTTGTTTGGGTTCTCTGAATAGCTTGAAGGCCCTGACGGTTCGCCACTGATACATACACACACATCTCTGTGTCGCAATTTCTAGTTTCTTATCTCCTGCTACTTCATATTTTAGATTCAGTGCGCGTACGCCAACCGTACAGTCTGTTGCAGTTGGTCTTGCTAGATTTGTACTTATTTCAACTTTTAGCTTTCTTATTTAATCTTATCTTAATTTTCTGTGGATAACTTCTATTAGTAACTTATTAAGCTATGCCCATTTTATAAAAATGTTTTGTTGTTGAGTTGCTGCTGTGATGCATCCATGCCGCTGTTGCGCAGCAACCACATGGCTGACTTGTTTATACCAGGGAGAAGCTAATCACGCTAAAGCCTGCTAGCAAAGTGGTCTGAACACTGCTATCAGCACTGAAATATAGAGAAGGACACAGAGGATGCATGGGTTAACAAAAGAGAAAAGGAGGTGAGATGGGTCCAGATGTATGGAGAAAATGAGATAAAGCCCATCGCTCCCCCCTCTCATCATGGGCAATGTAAGGTCACTGGCTAATGGAATGGACAAGCTAACGGCGTTAGCTAGGAGTCAGACGGACCACCTTACTTAGGAGTCTATGTTAATGTGCTTTTGAAAACATGACCGAGAACTTCACCATGTCTTCACAATAAGCCTGAGTCTATTTTATTCTAATATGGTGCCACGTCAAGAAACTTAATTTCCCCCTGATTAATACAGTATTTTCATTGATTGATTGATTGATTGATTGATAAACTAAATATGCCTGATTAGGAAATGGTGATGATTTATAGTATCAGTACACTATTAAAACTGCCTTTTGGCGTCGACGTCTTTCGATCTTGGAGTGGTGGGAAGTATTTTGAGTAAAAACCCAGATGCTCAATATGCCTGTCAGCAGCTGTGGAGGAAGACCTGTCGGCTGTGACACATGTGGTGACTTCTTACAGACTTCCCTGTCACCTGTGTTTGGCAGCTCTGACATGAAAAATGATGCTCTCCGTTTCAACGCGGAGAGTCTGAGTCTTTACTCTATGGAATAAAGGGGCCACCTAAAGTGCTTGTGACAGCAGAAGACACAGCTAAGTCCCAAACCCACTGCAGCTCACAGTGAAGGGAGAGAACATGGCCCATTGACGGAGAACAGGGACTGAGTGAAGGCATTTGAAACTCTGAGTGAAAAGTGGAAGTGTACATCAATCTCTTTGCGCCTACGTACGGTAAATGCACCCCCACTGAGGTGAGCTGGCAGTGGAGGATGCTCTGTTCCAGCCGATGTTTAATGCGAAAAACCTGAACAAGGCCAGCTATCAATCACATGGAAAGGAAATCCACCAGGTAAATATGGCTTTTCACCCATGAGGAAAAGTAAAAAAGGAAACATTATTTTTATTCGCTCTCTTTTTGACACCTACACCTTATCTTGACAAAAGTCTTGACTACCTTAACGGGACAGTACACCCCAAAATAAAATAAAAAGTATTCGTCTTCTTACATAATACAAATCTGAAAGCTGCTGTATCGTGTTTTCCACCCACATTCTTGATGAATAACAAACTGAAAATAGTATGGTGCCAGCAGGCAATAAAGCGTTTCTCTGACCTGTTTCAAATGTATCCTGACATCCCAAATCTCCAGGACCCTCTGCAGAGCTTTTCTTACTCATTCATAACTGTGGGCTGCAGAGATGGAGGCACCACCCATGTGACCACACAGTGATTGCAAAGGGTCAGAAAGTCCAACTGCAGGGACATTCTGCTGTAATGGAATATCCTTCTTCTCAGGCAGCAGTAGCTCCAGAAGCTTTTTTCAATATGTACAAAACAGCTGAAAGATGCATCAAGGGTTTCGATACGTATGCAATTAGTTTCATGATGTTTGATGAAAGCTAGAGGAATACTTATCTCCAACAAACTGAAAAAAATAACTAAGCCGACAAGACAGCCATGCTAAGAGCTTTATAAGGAGAGGCGATGCTTTGAGCGAAATACTGTTGTTAGCAGATGCTAATGTGAGTGGATGCTAACAAAGACAATGTTAACATGCTGAACTTTAGCAGGTCTAATGTTACATTTACAGACACTAACATACATTTACACAATACGGTACTTGACGGGGGCAATTTAAGGTTAGAAACTCTGCACAAGGACATCTGGTCATGTTGAGTTCAGACCAGACGCAGCCTCTGATTGCTCAACAGACTCAGGACATGCAGCACAAGAGAAATTAGGTATATTGTGAAGATCATAAATAGAACTACATTGTAGGCTAATTTTATATATTTGTAAAGTTCTATGTTAACATTGTAAAGCAAATTGGTCTATGAGGACCGGAAGACATTGGCACTGGATATGGAGAAGGTTGCTCCATGACCTGCAATATTTGGTGTATTTACCATAATCTCCAGATCCTTCATCAGACACATGCATTGTTGATGTGATTGTGAACCTGACCAAATAAGTTATAATGTATAATCTAGTTCTGTCAAAGGTAATGCGATAATAATGCGTTAATGCAACTTCCTTTTAACACCACTAAACTAAACACCAGAAAAAAGCTCAAAAGGAGAAAGGACAGTTCCCCAGTTGGATTGTTGCAATAGTAATACACATACATTTTTAAGAAACAATCACATTTGTCTACTCCCATGTTGATTAAACCCTGAGTATTAAATCGCAATCGCAATTAATCAAAAGTTAACTATGGAAATCAAAACGATTAATCAAAATTAAATATTTTAATCGATTGACAGCCCTCGTATAATCCCACGATCATTGTTCCAGAAAAACATGACACAAAAACTGTTATTTAATGAACAGAGTAGTGGTAATTATGCAAGATTATGCCATGGAAAACGGTTTCGTATTGAATTCTAATGATAATAAAAATGTTTTACATGACACTTTCGTGAATGCCCAGAAAAATGATATAACACTGGGCAATATGGCCCAGCATTAACCCCAGGCAACAACACGGACAATAGAGGGCCAGAGAGTAAGTGCATTCATGACGGAAGACCCTGAACCATAGTGGCTCATTGTGTCAACACTTAACCATGAGAGGGACCAGATCATTCATGCAGCTGAAGCATGAAAGACACATAATGCCGGGTTACTATACGTCCACATACTGCACTAGAGGCTGTGGTTGACAACACCTGAGTGGACATTCATAATCCATTTTCTGAAAAGCTTTGAGAGTGGATGAATGAAAAGGGAATGCACTTACTGCTTGACAGATGATGGGGTATTTGATTCGATTGATGCCGCCGGCAAACACAGCAAAGGTCAGCGCCGTGTGGAAACAGAAGTTGAGAAGCATGTGCCATCCCTTCCGACTGATGCGGATCGCGCTGCCAAGAGAGACCGAGAATCAAAAGAATTAGCAGGTAAACACCACATGTCACAGAGCTTTATCATAAATCTCATTTAGATGCAGTTTTCAAGGTGTATTGCCCATCAATCACTTCAAGTACGATTTAAGCCAGGCTTTTTCAAGGTCTGCATACATTTTTTTACCTTGCTTCTGCGTTATAGATTAACAACCACAGGAGAGCCTGGGGGGTGCTGCTCGTAGAGTTTAAGATGTCTAAACAACTCTTTACAAACCCAATGCCAATATATGTGCTGAATAATAGAATACTTTCAACCTTGACTCAACAATAAATATTTTCATGTTGGGTAATTCATTTCTAATACAAAATAATTTATCTTGCCTGCTAAAAATAGTCGTATATTAAAAGTCTAATATTGTAATTGGGTAGCATCGTCAATCATACGCACAACATCACTCATGTTCTTACCACATTCAATTGTGTGTATTACAAGGCCATTTTGGAACAGTTGTAGAACACATCGTTAAACACAATTACACCAGAACTTGTACAGGAACACAATTATGCAAATGTCTGTGTCCCTGGTGCATGCTGGGAAATGTCCACAATAGACAAACTTAGAAAGAAATGTATATAAAATACAGTTTTTGCGTTGACTCTCATAAGGATTTTATAAATCCAGATTAAAAAAAACATTTTGTTCATAGTGGAACATTTAGATTACAAGAATGCCTGTGACAAAAATATGTGCCGAGTTTGGAACAGTCACCGCTATTACAACGGGCATCTTATATACATTGAAGAAAATCTTAGTTGAAAAGCACATTTTTATTAAACTTCCAAATCTACTCTTTGCGATTGTTGATGGTTCTACTATTCTGATCTGTGTGACCTAAAAGTTTTTGATTAAATTATTTAAAAAAAACTGTTATTTCAAGATTTAAAAATGGCAATGTCAGAAAATAAAATGGTTCATAAAAAACGTAGTTGCCATGTCTAAGCATTTTAAAGATTCATTTAAGAACGTTTATTACGAGTTAAAGACTAATTTTAGTACATTTTAATGATCCACGGGAACCCATGGAAGGATTTGTTTTTATAATTTAAAACCCTGGTTACCTTAATGGTCACACTATTTTATTTAAAATGGACCTCAAGACAAGGGCTTTTCACAGTTCACATGAGATAAGGGTTCAGTGTGTCATTCAGGGCACAACCTTCCTGTATTTGTGGTTAATGCACACAAATAAGACTCACTCCGCTGGTTTGATGATGAAATAAAAGAGATTGCTTCCAGTTGGCTGGGCCAATTGAAGTTTTCATGATGTAAAACCATGCACTCATATCCACCCTGTGAAATATGGCATTAGCCAGGGGGGTTACACACTCTTGGACAGGGCACTTAACCCACATTACCATTTTCCTCCCAGCTGTTAGGAAATAGGCTAACTAGGTCAGACAATGCTAACATATTTGTCGCACGGGTGTGAATTAACAGACCATCCATTCTTTTAATTACTTTCCTGTGTCAGCCCCCCCCTCCCCCCTTTCCTTTTCTTCCATACAGACACTGTCACCATTTGAAATTATATAACCTTGTGCTGGAAATCTGCACTCCCCAAAATGGAGGAGCGGAGCCCCAGCTGCACGTGAGCCAACTGTAGATGAAGCAGTGGCTCAGCAGTGAGCTATGAGGCGTGTCTGGGGCCGGTGGGGGAGGGGGGAGTAAAAGCTGCTGCCGTCGATGCCTCTGCCGCGGTGCAAGTGCTGAACTCCATCCAGCAAAGAGGCCATAAATCAGGCCGGCTCCTGGCCTCCCTAGAAGAGGGTTTTCATAGGCTCTGCTCCGGGCTTTCATTGGGTCAAGTACATTAACCTGGCAACCCTCCACATCCCCATCTCCCAGAAGGTGGGGGGGGTCCTCTCTCTGCATCTGCTCCCTCACCCCTGCACCCACTGCTGAGCCAACTGTAAAAAACGATTAAGCTATGGACCAACCTGGTCTCACCAGAATGCGTGACTCCACCACGACTCCTTAACACCGCAGTGCGTGGTGGAGTCACGAACTTTGCTACATTTACGTGTCTGCACCACGCAAACAACCCCAATGTAAAGTGAATGAGGCTCCTTTGTCGTGGTGCACACACGCATTTCTACAACGTCCCGCAGTGAGCTTTTATTCTATAAAACGTTTTTAAAATCTACTTTATAGCTTGTAGTAACTCACGGGAGGCTTCTTTTATTTTATTTGTATTCATAATCATTTTTATTTTTCGTCAGAATGTATTATGGTGCATTAGTTACGAATTTTTGTTCTCAAAAAACAGTGCATTGTGTGTAATACAACTGTGATTTTTATTAAATTAGTTAGTTTTTAAGGAAGGCCAGAGCTTCAGCTGTGTCAAATAGATTGTTCCCTTTAGTTAACGTTATGTAAAAGATAATTATATTCCTATTTGATCATGTCCCCTTTATTGTATTACAGACACAGAGAGCAATGTGAGCGTCCATTCCCATTCATTTTACACCCGGAAGTAAGTATTCTCCTTACTGTCGATTGATTTGACAGTGATATCTGCACTACTCATCAACTCAAAAACACCAGATTATCCTTGTTAATTACACAACATTGATTGGTTTAAATTGTGTGCAATGCTTTTGTAATTTTCCCCTTCGATTCGGAGAAACAAATATGTGTTCAGAGTTTAGGATGGCCGAAGACACTACACTACCCAGAATCCTCAGCTATTGTTCCGCTTTGCCTCAAGCTCTGTGATTGGTTGACCTCCAACTGCATTCCATATGGAAAAAAAACGTTTCGTAAAAGATAAAATCATACTTTATTCAGCAGTGCTTGCTTTACTCTTTGAAAGTCATCACATGAATGCATTGTAATTAATGGTTTGGCTGCATTAAACATTACACATCTGTCGTAGTTCTTTATTTATCTACAGAGATCGGGCCTCAGAATAGACCGGAAACTATTCTTTTACCGTTCGGTTTTAATTTCACAATAAAGTTAGTAGTAATAATTTGTTTTGATATTATTGTTTTTTATTAACTACTAGACCGCTGGGTCATGTTAAGACCATCTTTTCTGTGTTGCTGTGGGTTTTTTCCATCGCTTTTGTGTTACAAATATCAAAACAATAACAGAATATATCCGTCCAGAAAAAATGAGAAACAGCAGTATATTTTATTTTGTTAACACTGTAAACTTGACAGCTTTTTAACCCGCACCTCCTACTGGTTAAAGCACGTTATTACACGTTTAGAGTAATTGCAATGCAGGTAGATTGTGTTGCTTTTTAATGACTGTTTTAAAATGCCTTTTTCTTAATGTCTTTCATTTTTGTAAAGCACTTTTGAATGTGTTATATTTGATGAAAACATTTAAATATTAAGAGTACATACTCTTAATATAGTGGGAAAGTGGAAGGTCAATGATATAAATAATATAGAATAGAAAATATCAAGAAGATATTGTAAGTGATCTCTACAATAAAACAGTTTAGTGCCTGATAGGAGGATGTGCAAAACAGACAAACTAATAAGGCTTTATTTAAACATGAAAGAATACTTTAGGTTAAGGTCTTCTTTTAAATAAGAAAAAAGCTTTGGGGGTATCTACAGATATTAAGCCTGACAAAGTACTTAACGTCTAATATATTGCATGGTTTGTTTTGGAACTTGACAATCAACTTTCCTGCAATGTTAACTATGTTGAAGCACTTATTTTAACTGATATTATACATATTAATTATACTCTTATAAGATGTATGTAGATAGTATAAGAAATGTGCAGAATATGTTTAATGGTGGAGGTACACACATATCGATAGATGTCTTGTAATGCACTGTTGAGGAACCTGTGACCCAAGTGTTTCATTCATTGCATAACTACACCGTAGTTGTGTATATGATATGTCAATGAACCTTAGAAAATCTTGAAATCTTGAAAGGGATGTGCAAAATAGCCATTATATACAGTTTTTAATTAACTATTAGAAGAGAATAACGAGTAATGAATATACTTTATAGGGATCTGCAGATAAATATTTAGCCTTCTCAAGCACCCACTACCAAATATCTCGCCTGATTGTTGGCACTTGACAATCACCTTCACTGAATTTTACTCAGGTGTAACTAAAGTCTGATTTAAGGGTTGTTTATATTTCACATCATTAATCAGAATCTGTAAAATAAATGTAGTGGAGTAAAAATACCAGGTTAACCTTAAAGAAAGCCTTCAGGATTATAAAAGACCCCCATCACCCCAGCCACAAACTGTTCTGTCTGCTGCCGTCTGGCAGGCGGTACTGCAGCATCCGGACTAAAACCATCAGACTCAGGGACAGCTTCATCCCACAGGCCATAAGACTATTAAACACCTGAACTTTGAAACAACATCCATAACATTCATCTGGCTGCTACTTAGAAATTATTTATCTAATATATCATATTCAATCACTTGTATATAGACTCTTATTGCACTATTTCACTTTTTACTATTTTACTATTTTTATTTTTGTATTTACTGCACTATTTTGTCTGTGTATCTGTTTTATTGTGTTGCACTGTTGGAGGAGCCTGTGACCTAAAGGGGGGGGGGGGGGTAGGACATGGTGTAGTCCCATAGCTGAGGATTCTGGGTAGTGTAGTGTCTTCTGCCATCCACACACGACGAACAAATATTTGTTTCTCCGAATCGAAAGGGGAAAATACAAAAGCATCGCACACAATTTAAACCAATCAATGTTGTGTAATTAACAAGGATAATCTGGTGTTTTTGAGTCGACGAGTAGTGCAGATATCACTGTAAATAAAATCAATCGACAGTAAGGAGAATACTTACTTCCGGGTGTAAAATCCTCCGTTATCCAATGGGAATGGACGCTCAGCTAATATACAATAAATACAATAAAGGGGACTTGATCAAATAGGAATATAATTATCTTTTAAATAACGTTAACTAAAGGGAACAATCTATTTGACACAGCTGAAGCTCTGGCCTTCCT